GCTGGAAAAAATCCATATCTGCTAGAAAATCCTATATAAGAGAGAAAGTAAAATAATCCATTTCTGTTTGAATAAATCCATTTTTCTTGATAAAGAGAGAAATGAATGAACTATTTCTCCTGCAATTTTAACCATTTCTCTACACTTTATTTCCATTTCTCCTTATAACTGGAGATATGGATGAAGGATTTCCTCTTAAATAGTTACGGTTTCTTATGGTATATATTGAAGTATTGATTTGTATTGGAGGGGAATTCGATATTGAAAGAAGAATTTCTGCTTAACTTTTTGAGGTTAAACCATTTCTCCTAGAAGTGGAACGGTTTCTCTCTGAAGTGGGAAAATGGTCCACCCCTCCACTTTGTTTGCTAAAGACGAAAAAAGACAAAAAAAACATTATGTTGAATAATAGCAAAGTTTTTCAGCGTGAATAGACAAATTGGACTAGTGGCATGCTTAAGTTAATCGAATTTATCGACCTTGTTCTGGCATGTGAACGTTTTGTTTTATGTGGGTGTGAGTGAATGATTGTTCTTCGCCGATATCCTACACCTGAAGAAGTTCAATACTCATATTCATACCAACATTCGCGCCTACATATACCAAAACATCCAGAGTGAGTTTCAGCAGCATACTCACATCAATACCCAAATCTTCACCTCACATCTAACCTTAACTATAACTTATACATACTCTGATCCACATACATACACCAGCTCTTTCTCGATATCGTCAATAAATCTCTTATCATCTTCAAATATTTTTACAATCATGAAACTATGAGATACACTTGAAAATTTCCAACTTTTTTTTTTGTTGATATAAAAAGCGGTGTAATGCTTATGCTGTCTTTCGAAATTTTCAGATCAACGAGTAAAACGTCAATTAATTATTAGAAGAAGTACGTACACGGTAATTTAATATCCGAAAAATAGTCTTTTCTGCATCAAAATCATCTTTCATATGTCTGAAATACAATTTTAGCGATGAAATAAAAATATCTTTGTTCAAAACAGACTATTCATATTTATGAATTTCTTTTTGTAGATTACTAACAGTAGATCTATATGCTCTACGATGATCAAGAGATTTTTCTTTTTGTTAGAAAAGTGACATATTTAGTGGACAATTTCACAACAACACAGTAGTCTCGTTTTTCTTCGTCTTAACTACCATAATTCTTCAGTAGTAATGAGAATAAGTGAGTATATTCAGATTAATTTAATCCATTAAAGTTATTGTTAATAGTAAATGAAATGAAATATTAATGTTATTACAAATTAGACAGTTATACACTTGCAAAATCTATACATTGATTTCGTTTTCTTTCAAGTTCCTTTATCAACTATTCTATTATTTTTTTCTCTTTTTTATTGAATGATAATTTTCATAAAATATGTTCAAGCTCATCAATTTATAGACAAAACAGTTGATATTTTTTTTATAAATTATCTCATCTAAATCTCAAATGTAGGCGACTATAAAATGTTTCCCGATCTCTTATGCTATTCAAAGTAAAAAATTTTCATGGCATATTCGAAATAAACCTGATTACAGAAAAAAACTCATGTTTAATCAGTAGTTTTTAACCAGCTTTGTTTGAACATTTGTCTGTTTTTCAATACGTTTGTTGCAGTGGTTTTTATAAAATATAAAACAACTCTATTGTTCTCTTTTGAACTTAATCATGTTCGATTATCTTTCTTTTATAAATTGAATTATTTTTGCAGAACACTCTCAGAGGACATGCTCTGTGCAGATTTGCTCAATGTTCTATGAGCATGTACTTGAGTGTTGAATTCTTTCACAAAAGCCTTTGTCGATTTTTATTTATCAAACAACTATATAATTTAAAACTTATGAAATATTAATTGTTTGTTTTTTTGCTTTTTATTAGGTATTCTTATAAATATCTGAACTTCGTGATAATTTGAATAAATATGGATGACTATAGTCCTCAATCTAAATCTTCGACACAAGCATCAGGTTTATCCAATTCTACATCTGGTCAAGTTCCACAAGTAAAATATTCAAACAATCAACATTCTTCTCAAACAGCTTCCTCGAATAATGATTTACTTGTTTATATACCTGATATTCCACCAAACATATCAGAAAATGAACTTGAGGAAATGATTCAAACTCCTATCGATAAAAATCTACGTATCAAAATAAGTGATATAAAATGCTATTCAAATCTCTGTGTTGCTGTGATTCGATTAATGAATGAAGAAGACAAAAAACATCTTGTTTCTAATGTTCAATCAATGATTCTCGACGTGAAACATAATACAAATATATTGTTCGTTGATGAGCTCGATCTCGATTCTTATATAGTACTCGATCGAAATATATCCAAAATTCCTACTGCTGATGAAGTGGCTCGTCGCTATATGCAAGTATATAAAATAGCAGGCCTTCGTCCATGTCAACAGATATCCGTTCAGTTTCCAAATATTTTTTGTTTCTCTCTGAATACATTCGATAAACTTGTTAAAGCAGTTAAAAATCCAGATTTTAAAATTGGAAGTGCCTTTGCTACTGTTTATTTGCGTGCTGGTTGTAGTTATGTTGAAGATTTACCACCATATACTAACGATGAAAAAATTTCATCAGCCATTGCCACTCAAATTGGTGAAAATAAACTTCAACCTACGTCTTTTTACGTGCAATATAATAAACAGACAGGTAATGCAATTGTCTTAGCAACACAGTCAAACAAAGAATGGATAATAGAAAGTGTTGTAACCATCGATGGACAAAACATAAAAAAAAGACAAAACTTGCGTATCGTGTTCTTGTCTTTCATGTGCCTGAGGGTTTTAATATCGATCAAATTCTTAAACATCAATTATTTGGACGAATTGTTATGATAATTGTTTATCAGTTAGAGCTCTTCGTTTGGGGAACATTATGATGCAAACTGTGCCACATACTCTAGCTGCTGATCCAGACAAAACTGGAGTAGTGTCACATATCCAAGATTTTGGAGATGCCACCGCATCTCCCGCAGGAGATGCCGCATCTCCAGCGGGAGACGCGGCACCCACACTCGGGAGATGAGGTCATTCGCCACTGGAGATGTAAGATCTTCTTTAGAGAGACGCATCCCCCACACCCACACTCGCATCTCTCGAGCGAGATGCGGCATCTCCTGCAGGAGATGTGGTGGCATCTCCAAAATCTTGGATATATGACACTGCTGAGAAATCCTCAACATCCAATATTTCGTTATAAATGGAATGCACAAATTTTTGATTGAACAGATGAAAAAATTAGATGTGAAAGATAGACAATCAAAAAAAATATGATCTTAATCGGCCTTTATTACGAGTAACAGTTATGTTAAATACAATAGGTGTTGTTCGAAAGAAAAAATATGTAGTTGATGGCGAAGAAACAATTTTAAAATCTGAACCTATGAAAACAATTCGATACAATCATCAATCAAAATTATTATACGGAAAAATAATTGCGCAAACAGATATGAAAACACCATATCCATCAACAAATATTATTGTAATTAATGAAGATTGTCTTGTTCTTTATGAAAAATTAGTCTCCGAAGGATATCGACCATTATTATTAAATATGGCAAATGCAACTAATCCTGGCGGTGGATATCGTAAAGATGATGGAGCACAATAAGAAAATCTATTTCGTCGATCAGATTATTATCGAAGTCTTGATTCTAATGTTGCCGATAAAGATTGATCAGAACGACTTTATTGTACAACAAAATGTGAATTGAAACAATCAAACAACATTTGATGAATACTATCCAATGAAAGAATTCGGAGCTATTTATAAACATCTGGTATTACTGTTTTTCGTCAAACAGAAGCCAACGGATATGCTTTTATGGAAAATCCTTTATATAATGTATGTGCTATTGCTATGGCTGCATATCGTGATCCAGAATTAACTACGGAAAAAATGTTAGAAAATATATTTGCTATTGCACATCATCATAAACATGATTGTTTAGTATTATCAGCATTTGGTTGTGGTGCTTTCAAAAATCCACCTGAACATATTGCTTTACTTTTTAAATCTGTTATTTATCAATATGCTGGCTATTTTAAAACAATTTATTTTGCTATTGTTGTTGATCATAATACTGGAAATCGAATTAATCCAGATGGAAATTTTCTTCCATTTAAAACAATACTTGATGGTTTGAATGTTCATCCACCAACAACAATACGTGTTAATGGAGTTAGTGGATCAAATCGTATTCTAAATAAAACATCAGATGGAAAATAAAATCTAAGTGATGTATGTATTTTATATCTTCAACCATGTCAATATGGATCAAAATGTCATGATCTTAAAAATTCTCAACACAATAACAATTATTTACATCCACCAATATGTTCATATCAATATGCAACATCATCATGTGAACAAATGAATGATGAAGTACATATGTTTACATTTTTACATACTATCAAATGTCAATATGGTGGTCAATGTGATGATAAAGATCGAAAACATTTGAGTGAATATGATCATCCAAATTATTGTATAGATGAAGGCAATTGTCAAAATGTTCATCAACAACAT